TTATACGGACAGGTCCTTTTTTTCTTGTTTGTTAGATGGTGTCGCACAGGTATAATCTCTCTTTCTTTCTTTTCTCGTTGTTACTATGGCGCATATATGTTTCATCTATGTTGAGAGTGTATTGTTGATTTATTTAATGAGCACCATAAAAAGATGAACTACTGGTATTTTCTTCACTCAGAATTATATATACTTTGTAAAAAAAATAAAAATCATATTTATATCTCTTATAAACGATATCAATTTTTGCAAAAAATAGCCGGAATTTAAACTCTTAAAAACGTTCCGAATAGGTTTTGCGAACTGGTTCAAGACTACATCACAAGATCAGACATTTAGGATAAGAGAGATATGGAACAGGATATAGCAAGAATTCGTGAACAATTTATATACAAAAACAATAACAAACGATCAAAATCAGTGAATCGTAACCTAGGTAAACAGATAAATAAGTTGTATCAATTAATGAGCGACAAACGCTGTAGTCAGAATTTATGAATAGTCAGAATTATGTTTAGTCAGAATGATAATGAATCATTTGCGATACTCCAACCTCAAAAGTGCTTCGTTGTATCTTTTCATAAGTGCATTATATATTTAAAAATAGAAATTTTCATTGAAATTTTTTAAAAGCAGGCAGGCTAGGCCGCCTGTCTATTTCAAGCAGCCAGCCTGGCCTGACCTATCTGGCCTGTTACAGGCTTAGAAATCACGGCCTGTGCCTGTCTCAGGCAGGCAGGCCGACAGGCCAGACGGCCTGCTTGGGCCTCTGGTCTCTATGCTGTTTAGCTTTCTATTATTCTCCCTAAAAATGGTTCATTCCAATCTACAAAGCAGTTCTGATTGCTTGATTATCCCTTATTTTGAAAAACTGCTGAGCTTTCTCGATATCCTGGTTAGTACTTTTTCTGGACTGTTTTCTACTTTTGTTTATAGTATTACAAATGCTAGGGGCTTCCATGTTATCGTATAATTCCTACTTGAGAATCAGCGAAAAAATTCTTATACATCTATATTGCTATACTAAAAGAGTTGCTTTGAAATGTCACCATATTTTATATTGTCTCATGAGTAGAGAAAGAGTTCTAAAATTCTTAAATCCAAACTTTCATACATTTTTTTAACAGTTATTTTCTCAAAATGTGTGCTCAACGAACAACACCTAGTAACAGTACTTCAAAACATGGTCTCATACTTCTTGGAAATTCAGGTGTTGGTAAATCATTTATTGGCAATGTTGTTCTTGGTCGAGATGTTTTTGAACATGGCTGTAGCGCGTCAAGTGTAACACATGAAACAGAATTTGAAGATTATGCTGTTGGTAATGCATCGTATGCTGTATTTAATATTCCAGGTCTTATCGAAGCTGATCAAGAAGCTGTTGATCGAAACAAAACAGAAATTTACAAAGCATTTCAACAACGACCTAACTCTATCGTTGCTTTTGTTTTTACAGGTGGTTCTGGTGGCCGTATTCGTGATGAAGATGTTGTCGCTTTCAAGGCTATACATGCTGCATACAATTTTCAACCTGAATCATTACTTTTGATTGTTAATGATTTGCCTCTTAATCGTTCACCTAAATATGAAGGTGAAACAACCATCAGGTTAGAAGGTCTTGTGAATATTCCAAATGTTCGCATCTGTTTCTTGGATCGAATCACTAAGACAGAACTACGCAGTAGTGAACGCGTTGGATCAGCTAACTCAAATGCGAGCGAAAAGAAGCATGGAGTAGATAAATTAGAAAAGAAGCTTCTAGGAGCAAAAAACCTTTTAAAACAGTATGGTGCCTCAATCGAAAAGCGGGCTCCATCATTGGGAAAATTTTTACATTCATCATCAGAGCAGACCGAACGAGAAAAAATGCGCCAAAAATTAATCGAAGCAATAATTCAATGTACACCTCAAGTTCACGAGAAACATGGTGAGATTCAATTGA